ATAATTGGGTCCCAAACCCAACTTTGGGAACCAAAGTGCAGTGGTTCCCAAACTTTTCAGCTTTTGACCCACAAAATAACAGTAGCAGAGACCTGTGCCACCAGATATTTTTGGATGATAAACATTTGTATCGGGTCAACAAAACACGGGCATAGTAACAATATTTTTATACTACATTTATCCATTTTAAATACACTAACCTCACTCCTTTGTAACAACTAAGTTAAAAATGTAATTAATTCATAAAATATTTCAGGACCCCATCTTGAAGTTTTGGGACCCCACTTTGGGTCCCGACCCCAACTTTGGGAAACACTGATACATCATAAACAGTTCTTGTCAAACAGTATAAAATGTTAATGATGTTCCAAGTGTAAATCTTATTTTTTAATCATTATTAACAATAAAACATTGTTTATGATGAAGTGATGAAAGTGCAGAGGTGTTTCATCCAGGACAAACAGCAGCTCAGTAGACCAGCTGACTCCCCCTTCCTCCTCCTCCTCCTCCTCTTCCTCTTCCTCCTCCTCCTCCTCCTCCACCTCCTCCGCCTCACGTTGTTATTCTCCTCCTCCGGCTGCAGTTCTGCTCTCTCCCCGGCCTCTGAGCGGATGATCCAGCCGACCTCACCGCGCGCGGCTGCTTTCAACCTGCATGTTTGCTGCTGAGCGCTTATGTGAGCCCCTCGGGACCGGATCCGTCAGGACCAGAAGCTGACAGGTGTCCCACCAGAACTGAACTTGTGTGAAACGGTTTTGTGCGCCGGAACTTTAGAAGAACGGATCGAACTTTTCAGTTTAAAGTTAGAAGTGGAGTTTTTTTTGTTCCGTGGAGATGAGTGGATCGCTGTGGATTTCTTCGTGTCCCCTCGCGGTTTGAACAGGAACACCATGCTGCCTGTGCGGCTCCTGTTCCTGTTAGTGGGCTGCGGTCAGCTCCACGCCACTTTCAGTCCGGATCGTGGCTCGTCCGCCGCAGACAAGAACGCGCACAGGCGGAGATGGCGCAACAACGGAACGATGATACGTGGAGGCAGTGCGCGCGTGTCGTGGTCTGACACTGGCAGCTCTGAGGCCTATAAGCTGGGGGAGACACGCGGGTCCCGGTGGGCTGTGCGTAAAAGTCACGCGCAAAATGGAACGAAGGCAACTCAATCGGAGCCAGGAGATTTACGCACAGCCACCCTGCCAGGAGGAACCGGATGTGGTGGAGGAGACGCGCTTAACGGAACAAAATGCACAACCAGAACCGGTAGACACCAGGAGAGGAGCGGTTCGGGTCTGAAGACCGGCAGGGCTCGGCGTGACTTACGGTCGGAAGGTCCTGCAGGGGCCATGGCGCAGGGCCAGGACACCGGACATCCCAACATAAGTGATTATGAGGAGGAGTACTCCCTGCCGGACCTCCCCGACACCACACTGGAGCCCGTGAACCCCCGGACCCGCCGCAAGCCGGTGAAGAATCCGTTCTACCCGCCCTCCGCGGAATCTTACGGCGCGTACGCGGTGACGCTGGCCGCCGCCGTCATCTTCAGCGTGGGGATCATCGGGAACGTGTCGCTCATGTGCATCGTGTGTCACAACTACTACATGAGGAGCATCTCCAACTCGCTGCTCGCCAACCTCGCGCTCTGGGATTTCCTCCTCATCTTCTTCTGCCTGCCGCTCGTGGTGTTCCACGAGCTCACCAAGAACTGGCTGCTGGGAGAGTTCTCGTGCAGGATTATCCCCTACCTGGAGGTGAGAGGGGAGGGGGTCCTGATGCTGGATGTTATCAGGAGGTGACAGGGAACTGAAATGAACCAATGATGGAGTTAGTTTTCACTGAGACTATGGATCTGTAGTGTTTTATGGTCATTTACTGAGGCTGTGAGACCTTTAATCCATCATCTTCACTTGTTCCTGCCCGGGTCATGGGGTTCACAGGTGTCCATATCAAGCAGTCACTGTGTGAGAATGGGGGCACATTCAGAACAAGTCCATCACAGAGCCACAGAGAAACACGAGGCAAACAACCTGTTCCTCAGAATATAAAATCAAACATCCATCACTGTTTGTCAGACAGAGCAGAAACAAAAATTACAACAAAACATCATCATCGTCCTTTGTTATTTTTTGTATTCTTATGGTCACATGGTCATGTGACTTATTCACCCAAAACAAACAGCCCCCCCCACCCACCCCCACACACACACACAGTTTTATCTTCCTAAGGCCCAGACTTTTGCTTAGTGTGCATTTTTTATTTCCCCCATCTGTTTCAGATCATCGACCCTCAGAAACATACAAACAAACATTGTTTTTGAGCTGTTAGGAGTTGAAAATATAATTATATATTTATTTAAGATGAAACTGAAAGGTGAAATCTAGTCCCCCTGAATGACAAACCGTTCAAAACCAAAGTCCTCAACATCAGGATGCGTGGTCTCAGATTGTTATTTAATGCCTTTTTTTAATAAAGATAATAAAGGAAAACAAAATTCGGTAAGTTTAGAAGTGACCAGGTTTTTCTCAATAAGTAATAACAGTGGTATGACC